ACATTTATGTATATAAAAAATATTTAATTTATAATCCATCTGCTTAATATACTTAAATGCCATTATCAATCCATTGATTTTAAGTAAATCAATTTTATTTCGTAATTCACCTGACACACAAGTCGTTGTAGCAATCGGTGCGCAGGTGCAAATCAATGCCAAGACTGATCTTGCTGTGGTCCACATAGAAGAAAATGTCCTTCTGGCTGACAATAGCAAATGACTAAAAGGAAACAAATGTTAGGTAGGTCTGGGAAAATAATGTCTGATGTCTAATGGGGCATACCTTCACCACAGGTGTGTAGGGAATGTCTGTGCCTCGAATGTTAAATAGATATGCGATTTCCGTCAGCGACGTAATAATCATGGCGTCGCAGTTCAGATGGGCCAGTCGGCGACGCAGCTCGGTTACTTTATCCTCCCACTTCTCGCCAGCAAAGTCGCGTGCCTGCACTTGGATGACATGATGCTTGGGTGTCTCTGGTCGCTCAGAGCCCCAAATCATGTCCACCAGATTGATATTGATCTTGATCAGTTTCAAGAACTTGTCGGCCAGCTCACGTTCCCAGGTCAGCCATAGATGATGCGGCACCAGCTGTGGATCGGCGCCAATGCGTTTGTTCATGCGCACCTGACTGCCCAGCCAGCTGGCAATGCTGACATTGCCGTCGGCCAGAAATATCTGCCAATCACAGTCCAGCTCTCCGTCCGCCTGCTGCACAAAGCGCTTTTCCAGCCAAATGGCGGCGCCACCTTGAGTTACGGCCGCAACGGCCCGATTGCCCGTATAGCCGCTGAGATAGTGCAGACGCTGATCGCGTACCGCCACCTCCTGATTCAGATGCTCGTCTGTGGAGGGCAATATATAGCCATAGATCTCCGGCCCCTCAAGTGTGGCGCGAATCAGCATTTGCTCCCGCATCGCCAGCAAACGGCTGCGATACATGTTTGTGGGCTGCATCTGCAAAAAGAGGGCGCAGTTCATTAGCATTCACGGATCGATAATCCGGGGGTTAGCTCATACGCACCGGCCTGCCCTTGCGGTGCTCGCAAATCTCACGTCGATAGCCGACAGGTGCCTCTGCCGCAGCGACGCACAGAACTATCAAAAGAAAATGCAATAAAAAACAGTGTTAAATAGGCGAAAGGAATGTTGATAAATAACGTTAAAATTATTGCCATTTGATTTGAAATATGTTTGCCCATCGCCTAATGGCCCCACTAGACGAACTATAAATGCCTAAGAATAGCAACAAGTGCGTCACAATTTTATTTTCTGTGATCCAAGCAAATTTCCCACGCTCGCTAAAAATTCTCTTGGCCGCTTCGGCGTAAGTTTATTTTTGGCCAAGATTGAGATGTGAAGGCAAGCGTAATGGCTTCAATACACCGTTAAATACACATACATATATGCAAATTAATTGCAATTTCAATTTTGCTTTCAACACTGATTATTTGAGTCACCCACTGGCCACGCTGCGTATGCGTAATATGAAGTGCTCTCACCGTGTGGACCTCAACAATTGCCCAGCGAGACTTCCGATGTGACAACTGACTGACGGCCATTTCATTGCCAAAATATTGTCCAACCGCTGACGTGCGATTTGTCAAAGCAACCGAACCAAGTTCTCTATGGTTTCTGCTCAGTCCAGAGCATGCATACTTGGACACTTATATAGAGCATGAATAATGGATTGATTTATGGCCCCTCCCACAGACAGGCTGGGCCCCAATTTCTATTATTAAACTTTTTGCTAGAGAGAGGTATAAGAACTTGGTCATAACGTTTGCAATAGGCCTAAAATTGTTACCTTGTTAGCTTTTTTAATACAGGGCTCTATAAATAATATATTACATATTTATAAAATATTAAAATATTTGTAAACAATATTTTTGATTAAAATTTTGTTTAAATAAATTAATGTTCGATATTATTTCACTATTGAGCTTAAAAACCCAAAAAAAGTGTATTTGTGTTTCATCATATTTTCAGTTTCTTAGGTTAAAAGAGAAAATATGTGAATTTAAGTTTCCTGTTAATAGGCGCATATTCATATGTACCGAATTAGTTTTTGCTATTGAAGAGAATTATG